GATGTAAATATTTGTGATCAGGTAAAAATGTGATGTAAGAGGAGGCTTAGCTTGCCGGCGCGCGGCGGGTCAGTCAGTAGTAGACGGGACGGCCGGCTGTAAAGTAGTGTTGTGTTGTGTTTTGTCACAGAGCTGACATTTGGAGGTTGCGAGTCTTATGACTAAGTGTAGGTTAGGTTAGGTATAAAGGATTAGGATATACTATACTATAGGATATATTGACTATTTGGATACGAGTCTTATTGACTATTAGGATACGTGTCTTATTTACTATTAGGATACAAGTCTTATTGACTATTAGGATACGAGTCTTACTGACTATTTGGATACGAGTCTTATTGACTATTAGGATATGAGTCTTATTGACTATTTGGATACGCGTCTTATTGACTATTAGGATACGAGTCTTATTGACTATTAGGGATGCGAATCTGTTTAGCTGCAGATTTGCGTCCGGGGGGAAGCGCCTATACTTATTTCAGGTGACACTAGCTAGTTGTTGAAGATTAACCAATAGATCCGAATAATATTTGAATTAGATGGAAGATATGGAATGGGATATGTTGAATAGAATACCAGTGGCTAGGGGGCGGAGTACCCCCGGGTAAGTTTTACTATTTAACTATCAATTTTATCCAGATCAGTAAATGTTTGTTTTGTTATTTTCATGTACAATGAGAGCCTGCTTGCCAATGACCAACTAAATGGATATTTGAGGTGAATTTTCATTGTGAGACCCGGTTGAGTAAGTCCCAGAAATAAGCGATTTTACAAAAATAAATTAAAAAACTTTTTAAGTACCTACAATTGGTAGTTGAAAGGAAAAATAGCCTAAGAAAAAATAAAGAAGTGTACGGGCCAATTAATGACGTCTAGGAGCGTCCTCTCCAAAATCGATCTTACTGTATATTTATAATCAAAGAAATATATTCAAAATAGAACTTTTTCAGTGCTTTATTATTCTATGTCTTATAAGTCTTAGTGTAGGAATATGTTTGTGCTCTAAATATATTGGGTTGCCGTATCATTGTTACGTTAGCCGGGGTACCAGAGTACGAAGGTCTCCAGGGTAACAAAAAGGCAGACGAAATGGCCAATTGGCCAAACAAGGCTCATCAATGCCATTTATAGTCCCAGAACGGTTCTTTCAAAGTCGATAGAAGAAGAAAGCAAAGAACGAGAGACAGCCAAAGCTGTAGTGGGTATACTAAAAAGATGTTGTAAGCTAAGTAGGCCCGAAAAAACCATGTGCAGATTTTGTCGAACTGAAGAACAAACGACAGAACAAATTTTATGGCGGTGCGAGAGCTTGGCAAATGTGTGCGCCCTGTATCAAGCTATTATAGACATTAAACCATTTTATTAGTATCCATTGACTGAGAGCTATATGAAGGGTTCTGTGTCCAAGTTGCTAGACATTTTGAAAATGATAGGACTGGAGAATGTAATCTAAAGATCAGAATAGATATGAAAAGGTTGCCGCAGATCAGCCACCTCGAAAAATATAATCTAATTTAATATGTTATAAACACATTGTCATTATATAGGAGAAGAAAATAACTAGTTAGTTACACTTTTAGTGTTCAGGTTCTCTCTTTTGTTTAGCGTTAATTATTTATTAAGTGTTTACATACCTAACAAGAACAAGTACCAGCTATTTTCCAGCAGTATAAAGAAGATTATTTTACTATTATTTAAAATTATATCAAAACGATATATCCTTTATAGTATATTTCCCATAAACCTAGTAAATAGGTTTTCCAAAGACCGGATAAAACAAGAATACAAGCTAACAATGTTTCATAACGAAAATTTCCGGTCGAATCAGTCCGCCGTTGCCGGTTCTTGTTACCTGAGTGAACAGGATCGTATCGAGGGGTTTTCAAAAGGATCTGCTACTCTCAAATTGCCCGGGTTTTACCTTACCCCTACAACTCTCCTATTAACAGTGACGATTATCTCTAGGGCTTCCGGAATTTAATAGGTTTAGTCGATGGGACCATAGATAAAACAAAGGAGCAATAATAGATCTCGAGTTTTTACAACGTGTTATCAGCAACTTTTGTTTTTGGTTCTACCATGGAAACCTTTTATAAAATTATAAACTGCATTTTATACGATATAAACAATTTTACACGACAATTTTATTTATCTTTTATTTTACGAACACTTCGATTATTACTTTTATTACGAAAACGAAAATTGCAAAAATTGGAAAAAGTAAGGTTTCAAGGCAAATTAAACAAGGTTTCTGTTTAATTTTCTACAGCGAGATAGCATTGCGAACATTATTTGATTCGTAATTAATCTCAATCAAATTTTTCTAGGCCATTTTTTCTTTCGTGTGTCGTGTCGTGGCGTGTCACGACCTTGAATTTTTACTCCCAGCGCACGTAAAGAAGTTTCACTTCAAAAAGTCCCTACATTTTTGCACAAAGTTCGCCATACTTTATGCGTAGTAATTATTAACATAATATTTAAAACAGTGCCAAATTTTAACCATAAATTATGAGATCGATTTTATTTGTAACAACTAATATTTTTATACCCGCCTTTTCCATAGCGCTAAATTGTATTCAATTTTAAATTGCATTATTTTTTAGCTACTAGGTTATTAGTATTTTCTCAGTGTTTTATATCTATATTTTCTAAAAAACTAATATCAGTCTTCTGAGATTGATTTTTTAGTTCAATTTAGAAGTTTTCCCAAATTGAGTGGCGCCCAAAAATATTGTAAAGACGTAAGTAGGTAGTATTTTATTTTTGACCAATCTACGAACCATTGGTCAGCGCAGAACAGCGCAGTTGCATATTATTAGTTGTTATCATAATATGAAGGGTCAGAGGAAAAAAGCAGGTAAGTCAATTTCTCTCCAAACTTAGAAAAGCGCGGTTTAATGTTCAAAATGGAAATTGACAGCAGGCCTGGAAATAGTAATAGAGATTTGTTAGAACAAGGTAAAGGTATTTTTATTAGATAAAATACCATTGTAACATACAATCGTACGAACTCAACAATGATTTGCCTGTTTCTTTTCTCTTTTTGCTTAACTTGCCTGATTTTTCCCTTGATAGTATATCAAGGTATATATATTTGACGGTATATATCTTCTGACTAGACTGTTTTTTTAGCGGTTCCTATAAATGCTGATACTCATAGGACTTTGTTGTCCGTCCGGCCGTCTGTCTCTTAAGACGCTTTATCACAGAAACGCATGGAGATATCGAGTTGAAGACTACAGTCACTTAAAGCTGTAAAACTTCTAAGTTTATGTAAAAAATACGATTACAGTTGGGGGTTGAAACCTTTGGTGTTACAACTGCAAAATAAAGCACTAAATCACCACAACATACCAAAATACTTTTACTTTTACACTAGACTCGCGTTTCGCTAACCATATCGCATCATCATCAGATGGTTGAAATTAAACTAATATCTACAAATTGAGCGTTTATATACTCGCTCAGTTGGCTCCGAGTAGGCGTGGCCAAAAACTAGCCAAGCTACTACCTAAAAACTAGCTACCATATATTATCTGAGCTATATGTTCTTTAAACCTAGTTAATATTTATTGATCTCCTAGTTTGCCCAATATTTCTGATAAATCTTAACATGAAATTTCATAAATACTCTACTTGTTTTATATTTAGGATTGTTTTATCTTATTATATAGGAATGAGATGTTTTATCTTTAGGATTACTTAATAATTGTTGTAATTTATTATTAGCACTATTCGCAAGTTTTTTGATTGACATTGTTAAAAATGCTTTTTAAATCACGGGATAAGTCTCTATCAAACGGTATTGAAAAATATTTTGGACGTATCTTTCGCCACTTGAAAATTCGACCAAACCAACTGAGCGAGTATATAAGCGCTCAATTTGTAGGTATTAGTTTAGTTTTAATCATCTGCTGATAATGCTAATATGGTTAGCGAAACGCGCGCCCAGTATAAAAGTAAAAGTGTTTTGATGTATTGAGGTGATTTTGTGTTTTATTTTTCTAAAAAAATACGGCCATATACCAACAAAAAAAAGTATATTTAGACAAAAATGTATATTTTATTCAAGGGAATCAAAATTTATAGGATATTTTCGGTAAATTTCTCAAGTTATACCGTCTTACACCACAAGTATAGGGAAAATTCTTAAAACTATACATTTATAATTAAATCATCAAAATATGTATGGTCTTTATTTAAAGCACGCAATGAATCATCGATTAAACAACGGTATGCACAGCCATAACTGTGCATGGCCAAATATTTTTGTAGATTTTTTAAACTTTTACTAATTTGTAACAGAGGAGAAATATCTGAAAGCTGTATAAATAATAAAAACAGGGTCATTATACAGGGAATGGCATGTAAGCGGCTGATATAAATGTTGATATAAATTACAGTTGTTAGAAATTGATGATTGTTGTGCATTTTAAATTATTTTTGCATCAATTCCCTTTTTATTAATAAGTGTTTATGTAAACTAGTTCTAAAATAAACTAGCAAAAAAGAAAAAAATCGATATTAGATGGAGACACAAAAAACTTTTTTGCATTTTAAATAACAACAACAAGGTTTCATTTCAATCTTTTTCAATGACATTCATGTTAATTATATCATTATATTCCAAACATTATCAATACTTCAAGGTTATTAAATTAAACAGGTTGCCTCGTAACTTCACATTACCCGCCATATTGCGTGTTATCGTGAACTTTGGTTTAACATACACTGGTGGTTTACGTACTCTGGTTTGACGTTGTACCCGTCCCCGACTATGCCCCTCTAACGAATCCATGGCTTGATGCTTTTATTTGAATATAAAAATATAACCTAGAGTTATGCGTGTTGGTCTCTATACTCGTGAACAGACCTGTTTTATTATATATACTCAAATATATTTATAGATATTTTTTTACAACAGGTTCTTTTTATAACAATCTTCTTTAATCTTCCTTTAGTGAGAAACAAAAGAGATCGAGTATTAAATATGTACTTACTTTTTGAACAGTCGATTCCTTGAAAGCCGTCGATACAATCGCATTTGCCGAGATAACAAGACCCTCTTCCGGAACAGTCGTTCGGGCAAGTCGTGCTCACGCCTTCCGCCTCAGAAACGACCAGGGATACGCTGTACGGCTGCAACTCGTCATTGTAAACCGAGAGAAACCAACGGCCCGTGTCGAGATACTGGAGCAGGCTAACGTTCACCATCATGGATTCGAAGTCTGCCGCATCGCGCTTGTTGATAATGTGCCGTTCATCGGCAGGTATATCTAAAATTAAAAAGAATATATACGTATATATGGTATATTTATACCTATATAAAAGATATCAGTTATTTTTTTTCGAGATAATGGATAAAGAACGCTTTACGAATATATCTAGAAATCCAATATATCCTAAGTAGCATTTTTGGAAACATTTTAGGTAATGTTTCTAATAATCGTGTCTGTTTTTTGACACAAAATGGAAACTGTATGCCACAAATAGGAAACATTCTCGAATGCCTTTTCAATATGGTGGCACTAACCGTTTCCTGAAATGTTTCGATGCGGAATCAAAACTTTCAGAGAAAATGTTTCCTGACATTTTCTGTAATTTGTGTACGAGATATTCCCGTTTTCAGTAGCCACTGGTTTCTAAATGTGAAGAAACAAAATACTGTTAAGGGCCTCAAATTTAGTGGAATTAAAATAAAACTTTCTAAAGTAAACTTTCAAAAATAATCTATTTTCCCTCAAAAACTATTATGCGTAACCAACGTTACACATATGCGAATTGTTTAGAATACAATATGCACCAAAACTAATAAAAGAACAAGATAAATAAATTTACGTTAACAGCTCGGCCAATCCTGACATTTGAACGACCTCGATCAAGATATAAAAATAATAACATACAATTTTATCTACTAATTACTATCAATATTCAATGCGAACACAAAATAATTTAAACTGAAAACAATACAACAAATATAACACTAAAATCCTTAATTCTAATTAAATAAGGGTAATTATTATCAGGCCACAATACTCCATTATCAGAAACATTATCACAATAATAGGGTTTAAGTCTAGAACTTTCAATTATTCCTTCATATGGAATTCTAGTATTCTGGAAACCAATTACATCATTCAAAACATAGCGATTGTTAGGTAAAATAGACTTAATTATAAATGGACCACGATATTTGGGTATAAGTTTTTTACTAACTCCTTAAAATGATACCAATAATTCTCTATTTTATTCACTTGTATCCCAGTTCTGCATCTGTTAAGGGCCTCACGTTTAGTGGAATTAAAATAAAACTTTCTAAAGTAAACTTTCAAAAATAATCTATTTTCCCTCAAAAACTATTATGCGTAACCAACGTTACACATATGCGAATTGTTTATAATACCATATGCATCAATACTAATAAAAGAAAAAGATAAATAAATTTACGTTAACAATACCAAACTGAAATAGTCTTTGTCTGTGTTTGGATTTCAAAATGAATACAACCATCAACAATGTCGACCCCCCCATATTTTTTTTTCTTAAGATCTTTGTTTTTAGGTTTTCTCACACAAAAAATGTCTAGCAAAAGCAAATTCATCGTTTAATGATTAATGTACTTTTATATTTTTAATGCTTCAATCAATGTATCAATTTAATAATGTACTTTCATATTTTTAATGCCTCTTCTATATATCATTATTTGTTGCTACAAAATATTTTTGTCTGAAATATAGATTTTTATTTTTATTTCTATATCATGGTTCTCAAAATAAAAATACATAAATTAAGAATGCGTTCTTATTAGTTTAAAACCTAAACCTGCCTAACTCAACAACTGATAAATACATACATTTTTAGCCAAAAATGCTATCACTAGTCAAAATCGTGGAATTTTAATTCATTATTTTATAAAAATGACATGAAGTCGGATACAAATAATCTGCATTATGTCATATTTGTGTCTAAAAAGAGAGAAACTCGCGTTTCGAAAAGGCTTGATCGGAGCAGTTTCTCAGTTAAACCATGATTTATCATTATCACCGTATGTGTTTAGGTTTATTAGTGTCGGTTGTTGAGATTTATGTTTAAAGCAATGTTAATCTTCTTCTTACAATGCCATACTCTATACAGAGTGTCGGCTACATCAGTGTTTCATAAGTACACGGGACCTACAATGCTACTTGGGATACATATGCTACAGAAAATTGTTATCATCTTCATTAAGAAAATTCGTAGGCTTGGTTTCCACAAATTGCACTTACTAATACTTTTCAAATAATGTAACAAATTTTTCGTGTACTCGCTTTTAAAGCTGTGTATTTGTTTAGTCGGCTGTTTACGGTATTCTCCGATGGTGGCAACACCGGTGGAGATGCACCAAACCTATGGCTATATACAAGGTGATCTATTAGAGCGATTATAACAATAATTAGAGTCAGTTTAACTTTATTAATACTTAGCTAAACTCTCGTAAACATCAAGTACCTATAACAGAATAAACCCGCAAAGGAAAATTTCCATTATCTTATACACGAAATATATCAGAAGATTCCTATCCTTCAATAAGAAGAAGAGAGACAGCCGTTCCCACCAAGACAATTAAGCTGACATATACTTTTTACTTTTTATTCTAATTCATTTTAATTAAGCAGTTGATTGTCAACCATCATAGCATACACATGTACTAAAACCAATTTTTTGTAATAAATAAATTTTATAATCGTTATATGATTATGTAAGATGATGTTATATGATTATAATTATGAAAGTGTTATATGATATGTAAAAATAATTGAATTCAAAATCAGTAATCGTATACAGTGTATATGCCAACAACATTCTGTTCAAACCATTAGTCTTAATTGTTTTTATAATTTATTAAAAAAATAGATTATGCAATTGATTTTTTTTTCAAAAAATTTCTATACCTCTGTGGCGGATTTATCCGGGTATTTGGCTACTTGCACTATAAACAAATCTACAGAATAAAATAGTTATTTTTTTTGCAAACACTGCTGCGTTAATCCAACGGAGACCAACTTGTCAGTAGTAATTTACTAACAAATTTGCCTAACGGACAAAAAATGCTTAGCCGTGTCGGGAAGTTATATCTTTTCCCGTCGTCAGAAGCAAAAAACACAAAGAACAAATAAAGAACTATTTAAAATATCTAAATATAACTATTCAAGAACACTTTATATTTTCTTATAGTGCAAGTAGCGAAATACCCATATAGGACTTTTTTAAAGATAATTTCTTTTTTGTTGAATTATACTTGCGTTTCATGGTAAGTTTTATGGTAAGCTTTTATCGATAGTTATCACTATTTCCGATTTTGTACCGAAAAATCGTTTGAACTATTAATGTTGTGTTCTAAGAAATAAATTATTGAATTTGCTTCGCTACATTTTCAAAATTTTGGAAATAAATATAAAACAACTAATAAAATGCAGTAGATAAAACAACTATGTAAAACTAGTATAATGTGCTGAAAGAAAACTAATTAGGTCTAAATAAAACAGATATATTTGAAAAATAACTAAAAATTTATATTATTTTATTAAATTTATATGAAAAAAACTGCAATAAAAGGTGGTATTTTAGATGCCAAACTTTGTCCAGTATTTTTCTTCAGTGCTGAATTTGTTGCAGACTAAATGAACTTTTTATTGTTAACGAACTATTTTTGCAATTCCTTCAAAAGAGAAATATACTTTTCTCAAAATAAGGACTAAAATTTCTAGTCTTACATAATTTTTAAAATTATGTCTCATAATATAACTAAATTGCACCGCCTCTTTGAAAAAATCTGGGTCACAGGGCTGAGGAATGACAATCGATATTAATTTTGGCGAGGTAGGCTCTTTCTAGACTGCAATTACCAGAAAATGAAAATTTGTAACAAAAAATTGCACCTATAGAAGGATTAAAATAGGATATAACGTTACCAGACACACAAATCAATTTCCAAAAAATTATTTTTTTACTGAACTACACCATTTAAAAAACATTTTACTGAATATAAAAATAAATTACAACCTCCTTAAGACGAACTGGCAATAAGCTCCATTAAAAATTAAAGAAGAATACATGTCGTAACTCTTAAAAAATCTAGGAGTTAGTGGTACAGGCCAAGTAAATGACTTAGGACATCACGAAAATTATCACGCGATTTTTACTCCCCAGATTCTTTGACGCCGTTTATAAAGATAATATTTTACTATAAAAAAGTATTGTTTGTCTGGTTGATAGAGGGGCTAAACATAGCTTTTACCCGAGACAATTTTATTGAAATTTAACTTAAAAGGAAAACGCTATAAAACCAGTTTACCTATTTCAACAGTCGGATGGGGTAGGTCTGCGGTGGCGGCGGAAGTGAAATCCTTACGGTAATCTATTTTTATATCGTGGGGTATATAGTAAGGTCCCCTGGGCTCGGAATCGGCAAGGATTTTCCGTGTACCTTCGTAAGAACTCGAAATGCTGTCCAAAACGTCGCTCTTGCGAGAGTTGCGGTTTTCGTAAGGGAATATGAATTGAGATAATGGACGCAGGTCTTCCGCTTCGCCGTCTTCCGCTCCTGAAAAGAACGAGGCTCCAATATAGATAAAAGCTTTCACAACCACGAGCTGCGGCGGCTATCGATTTGCCGGAAATTTACCGTAAACAGATTTATGCTCGGCTACTTCGTCTTGTTCGTCCAATATTGAACATAAATTAGCGACTCTACCAGCAATTTCGTATATCTTTTGAATTTTTCCGACAATATTATTTACATACCTAGAAATATATATCTATTTAAACATTTGTTATAACAGAACATGTTAATATTTCTCCAAAAATAAGTCCTATGTGTATTTCGCAAAAAAAATATTTATTTCCAAGAATTATAATGAAAGAAGCGATAGTCTCTAAAATAAAAATAAAAGAGGCTTTTTAATACAATCTAATAAAAATAAATGTATTGCTCATGCATCTGTAGATGTTAGTAATGTATGTCAATCGCGTCTTTGATTTTAAAGAACATAACATCAATAAATATAACATACGTAAAAATTAAAAATAATCATACAGAAAGTTGGAAACTTTTTGGTTTTACCTTATAAAGTAATTGTTATCAAGTAGTAATTGTTAATTTTGAAGTTTAACTTGATATAATGTCATTTTAACAGAACTTCAACGGTTTTTGTATACGTATCTGTTTAAAAAAAATAAAGTGTTCTCGGATGCATATAGATAAGTTGCATTTAGATATTTTAAGTTTAGTTTTTTTAGTTTTTTTTCTTTGTTCTTTGTATATTTTTTTGCTTCCGACGACGGAAAGAGATATGCTTTCCGAAACGTTAAGCATTTTTTTTGTCCGTTATGCAAATTTGTTTATTAGTAACCCACTGCTGACAATTATTTTCCGTTGGATTAACGCAGTAGTGTTTACACAAAATAACTATTTTATTTTGTAGATTTTCTTACAGTGGCGAAATACCCATAGCATTTCTTTTGGAAACATGAATCCGCCACAGAGGTATAGACATATTTTAAGCTAATATTTCCTATAATATTTTTTAATGAATACATTAGTAATAATAAAATTTGTCAGACAAGGCTGCAACATATGGGATAATAGGGACATATAGGGGGGGGGGGTTAACAACAAATTTAACATAACTATACTAGGACAGGAGGACTGGATGAAAAGTGTACTCATGCAAGTTGAGGCAATCTGGTATACATACGCAGAAGAAGCTGGAATATTTTTGGGTCGACACAATAAATGCCTTTCCATGGTAAAGACTATAATAATAACGGCAATCCACTATTGTGTAGAAGAAATAATATTGCTGCAAACGACACAGACAGGCAAGCAGCGCTAAAGGCACTCGTTTCCACGGAAGTCAATTCTAGCCTAATGAGAGATTATGTGTGTGCTCTAAACACATTATATGAGCATAGCAATATTACGTCAGCCTGAGTAACAGGGCACGACGGTCACTAGGGTAACGAAAAGACAGACGAAATGGCCAAACAAGACTCGTCAATGCCATTTATAAGCCCAGAATCTTTGTCACCTGTGGCGTTGCAAAAGCGGTTATAAGAATGGCTACAGAACGGTGGGTGGCCGACAAATTTCTAGAATGTTGGAAAAATTCACCAGGGCGGAGACAGGCGATAAAGTTCATAGTAGAGATTCAAATAAAAAAAGTAGCAGTCAAATCTATAATGGGTCTACTAAGAGGCCATCGTAAGCAGAATAGGCATCTAATGTTAATGGGATTGACGGACGAAGCCATGTGTAGATTCTGTCAATCTGAAGAAGAAACAATCTAGTTACTTTCGGATTTTCTCTGCGACCATATAATTTTTATCTTAATTTTAAAGAACACATCCTTTATAGAAGTTTGATATAAAAAGTTTTCTCTCCCTCTAACAGTTTGGTCAGTGGGCATCCGTTCTACTTGATTTTTAAAGTTAGCAGACAATGAATTAATAAACTTTTGACTTTGTAGTTGCTAATCCCGTAGACGATCCCATCAACCAACGTTGTTTTGTTATCTTAAATGTTTCTGCTATTAGCTCAGATCATCGCCTTTATATAATTCTGTAGAAAGATAGAAAATCTTGGGAGGATTTTCAATCACGATTTTTAATTTTCTACCACTTTCTATACTTCTCTATTTTCTTTTCTAATGATTAATATTTTATTACCATTTTTTTTTAATTTGATACTAAACTGTTTAATATGCTGGTTTTATTTTGCTCTGCGTTTGGGTTTTGTATTTGTTGCAATTATACGCGATTATTTATATATTTATTTAAAATATTTTTTCAAAATACACAATTACATTATGTACATAACAAAATTATTTTCATAAATCGTGGGCATACTGCCAAAAGTGACCAAGTCAGTTTTTTCTTGATTTTAAGGTAACATGTCCAAGTCAGTCAGAAGTTACAGCGGAATATCTGGAAAAAGTGGCCAAGTCAAAATATAACACATAGAGGGCTCCACACGAATAACACTATTATGACCAAGTCAAAGTATTTAGGTTGAGTACAGGCACAAATGAGTATGTTAACTTGGTCATTTTTTCACTTCTCCAACAAGCTTGATACCTAACAGACAGTGATAAATGACTATTACGACTTGGTCACTTTTTAATGTCCAGGCAGTGTGTTCACGTGCATAAGAAAATCTGAGGAAATTATTGTGCTTGTAATATGGCTTCCAGAGGAAAAGTTTTAGTGCAAATGTGTTTGGATAGTTCAGAAACGATTGCTTCAAATATATATAATGAAGGTAAGAATTTTATAGTTGTTATTGATTTTTATTATCGATTTAACCTATTTTGAGGTTATGTTGAACTCGAAAAAATATTTTGGGATTGTAGACCGGCGGTGCATTTTAAAAGTTTTTTAGTAGGATGAAATAGGGCCAGCTACTAATAACACGTATTGTTTTTAGAACCGTGTTGTTCAAAATCGTTCGTCCAAAGGGTCTCCACTTTATCTGCGGCAAGCAACATTGACGAAGGTAAATACTTTTAGTTTGATTGTCTTTTTCCTTACTTACTTAACATTTTTTAATTAGGTTCATTATGCTCTAGTGCAACGCAAGATTGCCTAAGTACGATAAGTAATGCCCTTATTGATGAACATTTAAGGCAGGAAAATGTTCCTACACAATATGAAAACGATGGTTCGGACTTTTCGGCAGGCAGTAGCGATAATTATATCCCGAGTGATAATGGGGGCCAATCAAACATAGAATCAAGTTCTGATAGCGATACTCCCTTATCAAAACGAATGTGCCGTTGGAAAAAAGCTGATCCTCCACATTGGAAAAAAATATTAATAAAAAGAAGAGAAAATCGCGTTTGCCATACGAATCCAAAGGAATAATTAGAGCAGCAAAGAAACCTAAAGTCACGAATTGCAATTCTTGCAAGTTTAAATGCTCACTTCATTTTGATGACCCACTTAGAGACCTGTTATGTTCCGAATTTTGGAAACTAGATTACAATCGCCAAAAAGACTTTATTCTCTCTTGTGTTTCAAGCAAAGAACCTGCTTGTAGAAGAATTCGATCTGGGAAAGGTGTACAAAAAACTAGTAGCCGGTATTATTATTTTTTAAAAGCGGGTATCAAAGTTAGAGTTTGCAAAATGTTTTTCTGCAAACTTTGTGCATTAGCCATGGCCCGGTAGACAAGGCATTTTCTGGGGTGAATGAAACAGGAATATTTGCTGCAAACGATAAACGTGGTAAAAAAGAGCCTGCTAATAAAACAAAACCACAAATCATTGCTGAAATCAATGCTCACATAAGAAGTTTTCCGACTATGGCCTCTCATTATTGTAGAGCATCGACTAAACGAGAGTATTTAGATGCAAACTTGTCTATTTCAAAAATGTACGCCTTGTATGCTGAGAATTGTAAAAACAAAAATAAGGAATATGCATCCCAAATAACCTACCGCCGCATATTTTGCAACAATCTTTAACTTGTCTTTTTTTTCAAGCCGAAAAAGACCAGTGCTTGACATGTGCGAACTACTTGAAAGAAAAATCAGCTGACATAGAAAGAAAACTACCAATGTCATATTCGGAGAAGAAACGAAGCAAACAATGCAAAAAAATTAGATAAGGAGCGTGCAATGACTGATGATTGTTTCGTAAGTGTCACCTTTGATTTGCAGAGCGTTCTGCAAATACCATCCTCAGATGTTTCACTAATGTACTATAGCAGAAAGCTATATGCGTATAATCTTACAATTTACGAGGCAGCTTCACAGAAATCCCATTGCTACACGTGGACTGAGATTAATGGTCAGAGAGGTAGTTCGGAAATAGGCACATGTCTGTACCGTTGGATACAAAATTTGCCAGATAATGTCACTGAAATAAGTTTGTTCTCTGATACCTGTAGCGGACAGAACAGGAATCAGTTTATTGCCGCTTTATTTTTATTCATAGTACAAAACAGCACTTTAAATATTATAGAGCACAATTTTTTAGAGTCTGGCCATTCCTACATGGAAGTCGACTCTATGCATAGTGCAATAGAGAATGACAAAAACAACGTTCTTGTTTATACTATGCATGATTGGTTGAACGTTTTTCGACTGGCGCGTTCGAATCGCGGCCGAAATAAAAAAAGTGACCCTTACAATACCCAAGAGTTAAAGTATAATGACCATGGACAAAAACAGAACCATGGACGAAAGTGGAGAACGTGTTAACTGGCTTAAAATTAAATGTATGCGATATGAAAGAGCTAAACCTCAGTTTATAATGTTTAAGTACAATTAAGTGATCCAGAGTTTCGTATGCTTAACGTAGCTGGACGTTGTAGTCGCAATGTAAACAGTCTTGTCATGCCAAATGGAATACCACGATTGTATACTAAACAGGTTCCAATTTCAAATGTGAAAAAACAGGACCTTTTAAAACTATGTAAGACGGGAGCAGTACCTTCCGAATTTCATGCCTGGTATCAGTCTATCCCAGCAGAAAATACAAAGAAGGATGTAGCACCAGAGCCATTATTTTGGTCCGAATCGGATTCGGATTAGTTTTAGCTGTAAATAGAAAACCCCTTTCGCTATTGTTTGCATTTATAACTATTTTATTGTAAAAAATAGAAATAAACTGTTTTTTTGTGTTCATTTATTAAATAAAAGTGTTTTTGTTTGGCCATGTCTGTAATATGAACAAAATTGTACATGCAAAAATGACCAAGTCAATTTTATTTTGAAAACCAACATATAAAATGCAATTGGAATACTTAATTATGAACGACTGACTGCATCTTAAAAATCTAAAATCTCTATTAAATATCTAATCTCTAATAAACTTTTTAAAATAATAATTAAAAAAATTACAAATTTTCAAGATCAATTATCCAGAAATGATAATAACTGACTTGGTCACTTTTGGCAGTATGCCCACGAAATATATTTTATATTTGCGTCACATATCCATGTAGGCCTAATTCGTTCATTTCGTTAACACGAAAACCTATCATTAAGCAGAAAATTACACGAAATCAGGCAGATCTCGTGTATATCGTTCATTCTGGACAAGACTAATGAAATTTGCTTTACGAGCAGCCATTAACAGATATGGTGGTTACAAGTTATAATCACTGGAAAAACATAGCATGCAAGTAGGTCGCTTTTAAATTAAACACTACTTGCTGTGATAGTTGTTCTGCGTTTTTTAACCATGCATAATTACTAGTATCACCTCTACAACTAGCCTTATTCTTCAAAAGAAATCAATTATTATTTTAATTAATTTAAAAGCCATTATTAAAATATTTATTCAAGTTATTCTATTAGTTTATTGAAAATTTCGATGTGGTTCCAAATGATATTTGCTTAATTTGAATTTCAATTAGTTCTACAGAATATTCAGTTTACATACCGAAATGATTAAAACAAACGTAGTCGGTTCGGAAAATTGTATCCAGTCGAGGGTCATGACGAAAAATTCACATATATGTAAACAAAGACGAATAGATTGAAATATATTGCATAGAAGTCCTTCAAAATTTTATTTCATTGATGACTTATAGTTAGTCGTATTAATTGTATAAACGATATTTGATATTGTTATTTGATAGTTTTTGACCTTTAGTAAACTTAATTGGAATTTATTCTTGGTCTTAGGTCCGCAATTTAAATACATAAATTAATATAAGTTGGATATTAAGTTGCCACTCTCTATTCCTTTCATTCGTAAAATTTGACAGGTCTCACACAATTGAAACAAATGTTTCTCTTTTGATAATTTAACCTTAAATGTCCCATTCTTCTAAATGTATAGAACTCAGCTATATTGACATTTCATTTCAAGAAGAATTCAACTCAGTATTGAAACCTATTGAAACATCTCTGTGATTGCTCCAATTGTGTCGATATAATCTATTCTTAATAGTTTTATTCAAAGACATCAAAGACTAAAGGGAAAACACGATATTCCATTCATAAAACTGCATTTTTTTGCAATCATACACACTTTAACGCTTTTTTATAAGCTAAAAAATGGGTGCATAAATATGGCAATACTGTTCTATGTGCATGTCCCTCTTTTTGTTCTAAATTTGGTGCTGTTTTTTTATCAACAATCAAATTTGTAATGAATGGTTATAATGATGTCTCTATTAGAATTATGGTATATGCGAATTCAAGGTATGAAGTCCATAAAAATCGTATATGTATGATTTTATTTTTAATAATGCTTTTTGTAATAACCTACTAGAATAGTACACATTTTTGCAAACTAAGCACTGACAAACCACCTTATATATATACAGAAACTTTAAACAATTCTTTTGCAAAGAAGACAAAAATTACTTGAAAAACACAAAAGCTCACAAACATAGCACAGCAACACCGCTAAATATAACTTGAATGAATCCGTCAAAAGTTGGCTTTTTCTATTCATAGTAAACACATTTTAAAAAAATATATAGAAACCAAAGATCTTCTGAAGCAGCGTTGTGACAATGATATATTCCCTAATAAATTTTAATCTAATTTGACTAGAAAAATAAAAATAACTTGAATGGTATAATCTATGTATTTTCACTAAAATAATATACATACACATATATTTAGTGCGCCGCGCCAATGCCGTTTCTATATGTACCCCAAAAAACTATTAATAACAACAATAACATAATTCGTTTTCAAACACAAGCCGTAGATTTAACACAATCCGCAGAAATTTGTCACCACAGATTTTTGTTGAAAAGGATGTTTGATCGAAATAAAATGGTAATAGTTTTATCTGTTTTAACTTAGATGTATGTAGTTTTTGGTCAATATAAAAATACTCACCTTGATCTAAAATATCTCTCTTCTTTAGTCGATGATCTACTCGTCCACCTTTTACAAATTCCACGAAATCGTATTGGGTAACGCTTGGAGCTACATTCCTTCTTCCGTATACTGCAAAATTCGCACCCCACGGTAACGTGAAATTAAACCTGAAAAATCAAACACTAATATAAAAATCCATATTCTATATGTTCTAGGGAGAATTGATTGTTGAGATAATAGGATAAATTTCAGATTTTCTAATATGGTTCGAAAATCCAATATCACTGTGCAAGTTCATATTGAAAATTCTCTGAATAAATAATGTCAAGATGAAATTGTTATTGGTTTCAATAAATTATACTGGCCAAGTTTCGCAGTTACGTTCAAAGATAATCACGTCGGTTATAGTCATATGGCAGCTTCAAATAATATGCTTTATTTTATATGGTTTTAGATCCGGCGTATTGCTGACCTCTGTTTTTATAGCTACGGCTATACGTTTTCATGACCACACTTGAGCTCATATTTATACGTTACAAATAACCATACATATTAGTTAGCCTGTAGGATACTGCTGTCTGTTAGGACTACTAATATTATTTTTATGTTTTTTATGTTTTATTATAATATTTTACTTTTATATTGCGTTTAATTCTTTAATATGTACCTGGAATTGCACGGTTTGTACTTTTCCAAGTTAAATCAAATAAAGTAAGAATTAATGAAAATGAAAAAAGTATGGTCGTTTGTTAATAATAGGTAAGTTGACCTTTTATACATTTCAAGTCAAAAATTGAAAAATAAAAAAGAAATCCACGGTGGTATGTCAAGAAAATCGAAAATTGAAGGCTTTTTCTTAAATATACGAGAAACTATTAATTTTAGAAACAGGTAAGAAGAAGCTCTAGAACACAGGTTCTACCCTTCATCTAACCATACATAATTAGTTTCAGTCAATGGAAATATATAGAAATTTTTTTTAAAAAGTTTGAGTTTTCTGAAATTTTTGATATTGATAATTGATAATTTTATATTTAAACCATCTAGCTCTCGTCATTGTAGTGGTACTTTTGGTACTCAGGTGCGATTTCTGCAGGTTGTTTATCAGATCGAAGGATACAGCAAAGTCGGCTTGAAGATGGGGATAAATCCCGGAAATCGGTCGTCGGATGGCTGTTTCCTTCGGTCTGATGAACGTAATGCAAAAATTAGCACACATGTATGGGTTAAGGTCTTTAAACTAAAAAAATCAAAATCGAGAAAAAATTACAGTAATAATGTAATGTGTAAGATATATCTCTTATTAGGAAAAAAAATAATACGTTATTTTGTTAATATTACTTATAATTTATTATAGTGTTAATTGTAGTTATATTGTACTTCTACTTATATTGGTTTCTTTTGTTATTAAGGTTTTTTACTTTTAAGTGTACACCGTTTATCCTTAATTGTCATTAAATTGGGGATTTCCTGTTAGACAATAAATGAGTATTTATTTACTTAAAAATATACATTTTCTACAATATTTTATTAATAAAAATAAGTTAATTTTAATCAAATAACAGCAAAAAATACATTTTTCCAAATTATGGAAAAGAAAATCTGATATTTTTAAAAAAAGTATGTATTTCCTAAACTATGTATTTTAACATTGAAAATGTTTCTGTTATCCTATATAAGGGAGCCCAAATCGAATTAAAATGCTACATTTGCCACACCATGACGTCATATATACAAGGGTATAGGAAATCTCGGCGCAGCGGCGGCAGTCGGCCAGCGCGCGCAAAACCCATTACATCGCTAATTGTTTATTGATATATCTTACGTAAATTAATAATTCGATTGAAAGGAAATATAAAATAATTAAAGTTCATTGGCATTTACGCAACAAAAGTAAAGTTTTAAAAATCAAAGTTAAGAGCATAATTGGCAATTGCGAAAATATTTCCTTTCAAAATTACGAATTTATAAAATCATCAAATCAGCACTAACGCGGTCATCGCACCGGTCATCGCACCGATAGACCAATAATGCTGATTCGATGATTCGACGTAACGAACCAATAAATACAAAAATGTCACCTGTTGGGGGGACAGTCGATAGTCGTGAATTGATGTTAGATAAGGTCGCGGTCGAGATTCCGGCATTGACGTTACACTACCCTGACACTACCCTCGAGCCAGTGATGATGTTCGTCCATAAATATAATATGTAAGTACATATTTAGTTTTATAATTATATCACTATTCGTAAATTAATTAAATTAATTATTAAATTGAATCATCTGTTTTATTCCGCTATGCCCCTAGTCATAACCCACAAAATGGGCCATGACATATGATACCCGGCGCCTCCACCACATATGTCACGGCCCATTTTGTGGGTTATGACTAGGGGCATAGCGGAATAAAACAGATGATTCAATTTAATAATTAATTTAATTAATTTACGAATAATGAAATAATTATAAAACTAAATATGTACTTACATATTATATTTATGGACGAACATCATCACTGGCTCGAGGGTAGTGTCAGGGTAGTGTAACGTCAATGCCGGAATCTCGACCGCGACCTTATCTAACATCAATTCTCGACTATCGACTGTCCCCCCAACAGGTGACATTTTTGTATTTATTGGTTCGCTACGTCGAATCATCGAATCAGCATTATTGGTCTATCGGTGCGATGACCGCGTTAGTGCTGATTTGATGATTTTATAAATTCGTAATATTGAAAGGAAATATTTTCGCAATTGCCAGTTATGCTTATAACTCTGATTTTTAAAACTTTACTTTTGTTGCGTAAATGCCAATGAACTTTAATTATTTTATATTTCCTTTCAATCGAATTATTAATTTACGAAATATATTAATATTAAATATGTTATTTTATATATCGAATAATTCCATCCTTGACAATATTTTCATTAAATATATACTGTTTTTTTAATTGGGTTAGGACCGAAAAAAAAACAAAAGGGTCGTTTCTTTTAAATTTGTCCACGTTTCGCAAAATTTATTTGCATCACCAGAACAATTTAAATCTGGTCTTTCTTTGTCATTGATATAAATATACGGATAGAGTGGATATTCCTCTTTTATTTGACACATAACGTACATTAAAAAAACATCCATATCAAAAAAAATCACAAAAAAAATTCAATGCAGCAATGCAAATACGCTTACATTGACTGTATTCAGAGAGCAACTCCAAGAGAGTTGCTCGTCTAACTGACTCCAAGAGAGTTGCTCTTTTGTCGAGAAATTAAAAAAAAGGACACAACCTAATCCGATTAAAAATAAAAACGAAAAAAAAATATATTATTTTGGATCGACAACAATAGAAATTAAATTTTCATTAAAATTTTATTCAGTAACTAAAAATCCTCATAAGTCTATTCCAATATCATAACAATCAAATCTATTTTCCTCGCCCTCAGTCGGTCGCAGCACACTACAAAATAGCAACAATTTTACAAGTACTGGACAATTTTCCCAGTTAAGAAGTCCCGGTTAGTTAAGTAGGTTTTTTCGATATTTTTGAGGAAATACTTATTTGGGAGTGTTTTGTTTACCGTATAGTTTTCCTATAATGCATGTTTTATAATAGTAAGTATTTTGATTTTTTTTACCTTTGTTATTTCCATCATTTTCTAAATGATTTTTTATCTATTAGGCGACGCTTTATCACCTGAGCTACGCGTCGTCTGCGAAAGGCAAAATTTATGGCAATCAAAAAAGAATTTATGGCAATCTCATCGCGAGTTTCCTGCGCGCAGCCGAAGTTACTACCTATCGAGACTGTCGATGCGGCTGGAAACTGAATGCCGCTACGGATATTTTAAGGCACCTCTAAACATCATTGATAACAATTTAGCTAGCATTTTAACGTTTCTTAATTTATTGTTTTTTCTTGCAGTGGACTTAATTTATGTTGCTATGCAGGGAAATCGGCATCTAAGCTGCAGAATGTGGCTTTTCTTCTAGATCTCTTAACGTAGTAATGCATGTTTCTATAAAGTTTTGATTGTAAACAGAATATAACTAAACCTAAACCGGGAGACGTGACAACTTTGGACATAGTCGGTAACGTGTAGTCTAGGAGACTACTTATTTCAAATGGACAAAAAATAAAAACAACAGATAATTTGATGATGAATCTATTATAATAAGTGAAAATAACCGTTACCTATGAAAATATAAAATGACTTAACTCAGATAACTTTAAAAAAAACGCGTTTATATACACGGTGAATCTTAAATAAGTGCATAAGTGCAATAAGTGCTCCTCTTAAATAATATTTGTAGGGGTAATATATTTCGACCGACGTCTATGAGCTTTTTGAATATTTGGAATTTTTTGAAAAATTATTTGGAAATTTTTAGTTAAAAAACATAATGTCTTCATAATATACCAATATAGGTAATAGATTAAATTTACAAAAGAGAAAGCACAGAAAAGATACATTGGTTATCAAAATTTAAACGAATAATCATTTTTTTTATTTTCAAAGTATAATATCTTGGTTATTTGCAATTATTTGGAGAGCGGGAAAGAGAAAATATGTTTCTTTTATGGAGATCTGCCAGCCCTGAAAATATTTGCTCATATTTAGACTCACCCAGTATTAGTATCACAGTATATTAGTTCATCATGTTTATCAAGACGTTCACTTGGTCTTTACAGTCCGCATTGCAAGAACATATATTTTTGAACACACGTTTCTCAAACTGGTTCTCAGCATTGTAAATAAAAATTGCCTTGCGATACTGAACACACAGATATTTTGTTAAGTTTTTCCATATCTGTTTGTCCATGTTTTTTGCTTGGAGAAACATAATACACTCTGCTCTCAATCATTCTCTAATATGAATGCTTCTAATGGATCACATTTTTTGGTTCTCGGAATTCCAAGAATACGGCTAATTATCTCATGAATATCTTGTGAAATGCGAGTGTTAGTCATTGGCCCCTTCATATGTTCTTGTACTAACTGTTTAGCTGATTTTTTTGCGAAAACATTTTTTCTCTTTAATCAGCTGATTCCTTTTGTAACATTAATGTAAAATGTATGAAATACCAATGGGAATATCTTATCGCCTTAAACATCTGCTGATAATGCTAACATGGTTAGCAAAGTACGCGTCCAGTGGAAAAGTAAAGTATCTTGGGATATTGTAGTGAATTAGGTTTTTATTTTGCTTATATTCATATATAATTTCGCTTTTTAAATACTCAAAACTCAGGTCCACTTACGGTGGAAAATGTTTAAATCAAATTTATATTACAAAATATTAAATTTTATCTGAAATCGTACAAGGGAAACGCGTAAACAAAGTATCAAATTAGAGAAATATTGTTGATTATTCCATAAGATAAGAAACGATTGTGTTCACGCTTTAAAATATTAGTCCCAAATTCTTAATCTAAGTACAAAATAAATTTGAAACCTAAATGTATCTTTCCACTAGCTCTATTATTCCTTGAAAACCGTGCCAAAGATGTTTTCCCAAAATAACAAAATTGAACAAGGAAAAGCTTTCCGCTTTAGGAATTCAAGTGCCGGTACTTGACAAGTGGAGAAACCTCTTATTGTATTTATTTGATTTGTATTTCCGAGTTACTTAACAAAATATTCAGTTGAGAAGCAGTTTTTCTTTTAGACAGCGATAGATAGATATCATATCAGAAAAGTTTGATAAAATAATAGTTTTAATATTATGCTGTAATGATTCACTATTACTTATTAGTAAATTTCTTATATCTTCATCTCATAATGAAATGAGTTCCGTACATTAACAAATTATGAAAATCCTGGCCCAAAAAAATATTTTAAGTGGGAATAAGCGAAAATGGCTCGATTTTGGCCGGGAATTTTTTTGAAAATTTTCGAAATACAGTTTAAATGGGGCAATTATAGGGCTCCACTAGCTCTATCAGGAAATGTCTCACTGGTCGTTTATCTACTTACCGCTTCCGAGATACTTCAGTTTTTCGATATTGGCAAAATGTCAACTTTAAATCGTTTTCTACTTGTTCTTATGAAAATCTAAATGCTAAATTTCCAGGCCAAAATCGAGCTTTTTCACTTATTCCGATTTAAAAGATTTTGAGAAGTGGATCAAAAAGAAAGATTAGTGAAATTTTTTAGTATCCACGGTTTGTCAAAAAAGTACATACAGGGTGAGAAAAAAATAAAAACACATTTTATTATTTTAAGCAAATTTTTTAAAAATACAATATAACCTAAAATAGGGGTTAAATCGCATTAGAATTCTTACAATTACGCAAGAATTCTTACATTTACGTCTTCTAACCGTAACAGGCGAAAAAAGTGGAAAAAGTTAATAATTAAAAAAAACGATTATTTTTCAAAAGGGTATATCCAGAAAATGGACAATCAAAATTTTCAAATTAAATATCTCAGGAACGAAAAAAAAAGAAGGTCCCCTAAAAAAACTCATAGGATTTAATATCTCGACCGGACTATAAGTAGTAAATTATTTATTAAGTAGTTAAACCCAGAGTTAAACTATTTTTTGTCGTAAATTGGTATATTTCTATTTTTAACTGGCTATTCACATGGTGACAGAGATGATACATCTAATATTGTAAATTCTTATCTTAATGTTATTGTTTTCAAGTTATGTGACGGCATAATATATGCTGAATCAATTAGGACACTACAAAGGAAAAAGTGATATTTTGGAAGGATTAAGTGATGCAAAGTATGAATAGCTACTCCATATTTAAGACAAGACGACTTACGATAGAAAATTATGTAAACTCATTTTTATATTACAAAACATCAAAATTTATCTAAAATCGTACAAAGAAAACAAAACAAACGGTTGTGCTATAAAATAATAGTCCCAAATTCGTAATCTAAGTTACAAGATATAATATGTGAAATCTGAATTTATCTTTCACTAGCCCTAGTATGCATTGAAAATCGCAAAAATAAAAAATAAATTTGACACCTAAATGTATCTCCCACTAACTCTATTATTTCTTCCTTATAAAATCATGCCAAAGGAACCTCTTATTGTATTTATTTGATGATTTCTATTTCTGAGTTACTTAACAAAGTATCTAGCTGAGGGCCAGTTTTCCTTTTAAATATCGATAAATACCATAAGATCGAAGAGAAAAAAACGGCGTCAAAGAAAACTGCGGAATGACAATCGATGATAATTTCACGATGCCAAGTCCTAGACGTCATTTACTTGGCTGGTACTCTTCTTATTATTTAATGGCGCTTATTGCCAGTTGGCCTTAAGAAGGTTGTACCTAATTTTTATATTCAGTAAAAATTATTTTTAAATTTTGTCGTTTAAAATTCGAAAAAAAATAATTTTCTAGATTTGTGTGTCTTAAAACCTATCGTTTTTTATACTTTCTACAGTCAGTGGTAGTTTTTGTCAGGTTTTATGTCAATTTTTAACGAATGAAATCTAGAGCCAACCTCGCTAAACTTATCATCGACTTTCATTCCTCAGCCGTCTTTGACATCGTTCTTTTTCGATCATACGGTACTAAATAAATATGAAAATTTTCATATTTTATATAAGTTATTTTTTATTACAGTATTCTATTTTCTCCGTACTTTTAAGTAAATTCTAATTGAATAGTCCAAATAAATATAGTTGTAAAATTACCTTATGAATGCTGGTTGCTTATTTCGAAATTCCGAATGCCAAAATTGATAAGGTGGTATAGTTGCAGTATGCAGAGTGTCTAATTCGCGTTGCTCTAAAGGCAGTGGCGACCACTGTTGCTGCTGTTGTGCTTGTTGTAATAGTGAACTATGTTGTGTAGTGGCACTAGAATGTTCCGCTGTACTTGTTGGCAGAGATTCTGAAAATAGTAATAAGATAATGATAATTTAAAAAAGAACTTACATGGAATATTGACATTTTATAATTTTTAATAATCATGCAATTATCAAGAAAACATTTTTTAGGTACAAAGGAATAACAATTGTTTGTTTAAGATTAGTAAATTATACTTAACTCTCTAAGAGTTTTGAAAGTTTTGTAAAGAAATAATTATGCTTCTCTCCGGCTTTCTAAAACATGAAATGTATTTGTTTCTTTACACAAGCGTCTAACAGTTTTTCAAAAAAATATGTTCTAAAACTTCGAAAGTTTTTCAAACTTTCTGATACTGTCGTCGTTAATTTTCGACAGTGACAGACTGTAATTACTATGTCTAAGTAGAAAACACTATCGAGAGCTTTTTGGTAGCCACGTCGAAATTTTGTTTTCAAGTTATTTATCTCCTTTAATAACAACGTTCTACCTTTACAGATATTAATGGGTCCAAAAAGTTCTTTTGAATTATTTTCTTCCCCTTTATTCTTTAATGGGTTGCAGAAGGGAAAAAGCACAATTATAAAAATAACTTATTTTTTTAGCATTGACCTTTAATAAAAAAATTATTACTTACTATTCTTTATTTTAGTTGCAAAAATATCTTGTGCTCAACGAGATCGTTATAATCCGGTATATTAGTGAAAACATAAAGATTATTAAGAGAAATGTCTATGTTATATTATATGAAAAATAAATTATATAAAATGGCATAATTATATAACCTATATAAAGTGTGTTGTAGTGGCATGAAGGTAAATGCTACCACCAAATATTCTCATATTCTGAAACATTTTCTTGAATTAAAATTCCAATTTGCTTTGGAAAAGATGAACGGGTAATATTTATGCCAAAATTATGCGCAAACCTGACCATTAATGTTTATTAAACTTAGTCTTTTTGTAAGTTTCTAGTTGAATGCTACATAAAAATAAAATATAAACCATTACTTTATTTCTTATTTAATCTTAGGTGGGAGCTAGATTCAACTGATGGAAATAATATCACCCTCATCGAACGAACGGAGATAAAAATCGCGGCAGCCACCCTGAAAACCCACAAGGCTCCAGGACTTGACAATATTCCTGCAGAGGAGGTAAAGATTTTGGCAGATGATTATCCCGAAGAGCTGACAGAGGCCATGACAAAGTTACTGCGCGAGGGACGTTTTCCTGATCAGTGGAAAAGTTCACGAGTCGTTTTGATTCCCAAACCGGGAAAAGATCCAGGAGAGCCTGGAGGCCTACGACCAATCTGTTTAATCAGCGCGATGGGCAAATTACTTGAGCGTATAATCCATACCAGACTGGAGGAAAATATGACAGCTAATAATCAAGAACTGAACTCAGAACAGTACGGGTTTCGCAAGGGATGCTCCACCGTGGAGGCTGTTACAATTTTGCAGCTGAGAGCACAAAGGCTGGTGGATACAGGCACAGGGAGACCTGCCTGATGGTAGCTTTGGACGTGAAAAATGCGTTTAACACGGCCATGTGGGACATAATTATAGAAGAGCTGGAGAAAAGGAGAATACAGAAATATTTACTCCACATCATAAAGAGTTATTTCTCCAAATGGGTGGTTCTTACTGGGAGTGGTTACAGTAAGATAGTCAGTATGGAAGTTCCACAGGGGTCAGCTTTAAAACCTTTTTTGTGAAACATCATGTATGATCCGGTCCTCGCCATCGATAAACCAAGTGGCGTCTACACGATAGCCTTTGCGGACGACTTAGCCATTGTGTCTATAGGTAAAGGTCTGGATGAAGCCAAGAGACTTGCAACAGTAGCCGCCGAGATAAGGCAGTGGATAGAAAGCAGAAAGCTGGAGCTGGCTGGAGTTTACAAACTGACCGGCAGAGCAAAACTGGTAGGGGCTTTGGAGGTCAACATTCTGGGAGTACAAGTGCCAATTAAGGATAATATTAAATACCTGGGCGTCTGGCTAGACCTTAGGGCTAGTGTGCTAGACCTTTGTCTACAACACTCAGACAAAGGCAAAGAATGCAGAGGAGAGTGCAAGAGATCTAACAGGGCTCAGGCCGCGCGATGGTGGCGCCGGCGATTGGGCACGCAGGATGCTGCCAACTGCACACGCGTCTACCGTGCTGTATGCTGCACCCGCATGGGCCGAAACCGCTCTAAAGCTGGCAAAGAATGTTGACGCTCTAAACCGGGCACAGAAGACAGTGCTCCTGTATGTAAGCAGGGCAAACAGGACAGTGTCCACAGAAGCACTACAAGTACTCGCTGGGATAATGCCTCTTTACCTACAAGTTCGATACAGGAGCGAATCTTACGGGCTAGAGAAAAGTGCTATCAAGGTAAAAAAAAAATTCCTGGAGCTGTGGAACAGAAGATGGCAATGCAGCGATCGGGGCGGCTGGACTCAGCGCTGGATACCAGACCTGAGTCCATGGCTACGGAGAGACCATGAGAGACCTACTGCTTGGTGCAGTTTCTGAGTGGACATGGTACTTTGCTGCCTACAGGCATTGCATCGAAAAAGCTGCCTCTCCTCACTGCGTAGCTTGTGGGGATATAGAAGATGCCGGGCACGTACTACTGGAATGCGACCGACATGCGGCACTGAGAACTGAGACGGAAGCCATCAGAGGACCTCTGACTGAGGGAAGCCTCATCACGGTTATGCTGCGTGCCGAGTATTGCTGGAAGGTTGTTGACAAGCTGTGTCTCGATATTCTTATGGAAGTGGACAAGGTAGTGGCCGCGTGACGTGTTAGATCTGTGTAAATTGTCCTGCACGGGCCCCTGTTAGTGATAATCAATTTTGTGATAATCAAGATTAAGATTAAGAACTAGAGCGATTCAGTGTCGACGGAATGACGAGTAAAGGTAGGAGTGGATGCTTCCGTATGCCTCACGGCGATCGACATCCACGCCTAGCATAGGAGAGGGGTTTAGTGGGTATTATTCTTTAGTATCGCATTTTCGCATCGAACCCCACACTTCGGCGGTAAATCGCTTCCCCTCTTCTTTAACAAAAAAAAAAGAGTCAAAAAGTAATAAATTGAGAAACCTTTTCGCAAGTGAACTAAAAAACTGGGTTTCGATTTGAAAAAAAATGATTAATAATAATTTTTAATCGCTCATTTCCATGTACACAATGTCCCATTTTGGTTGAAATCATAGGGTATCTCCGTTATTAGTGAAGTTAGAAGGGTGCGGTTTGCACAAACCTGTACCATTTTTTTGTCAAACGGAAGATGCCGTAAAAAAAAATTTCATAGCAGTCTACGTTTCTGAGCTACAGGGTCTTTTTGAAAATTTTGCAATTTGGGACAGCCCCGTATCTCCGTTATTGTGGTTGATATCGAGAAGGTGAAAACTGATCCTTGTAGAAATGTTTACGTAGATTACAGTGGCGTAGTCTGTTTTACTACGGAAAAAATATTTTTGAAAATATGAACTAAAATTATGTTTTTTCAAATGGAACACCCTGTATGTTTCTTATTAATATGATCCGTCTTGCTATGAACTTCTCAAAAATATATATCACTCTATATTTATTTTCGCTCTTTACTTCAATATTTAAAAATAATTTCATTATTAGTAGGCCGTGATAAATAACATAAAAATCAAAATAGTATTTACTAAAATAGTCATACACACATTAAAATTTTATTTGGGATTGATATAGATATTTTACTTTTGAACTGTTACCACTGAATCTTTGAATATATTTTTCTTTCTTTATAACGGAATTTATTATAACGGGATGGGTTTGCAATTATCTAAAAGCTTGCATTATTAAAGCATTTTCCTGGTGTTCGACATTGTAGTAGTTGCCACGATATATTTCATATTTTAAAAATTCCTAAAATCAGAAATCGAGAACGGATAAATCCGAGAATCAGGGACATCATCATATAGGTCCATTGGATCCAATTCATTGATTTCAGAAATAATAATTTAACAAAATTCTAATATTTTCAAAGTTGTTAGGGAAAGCCCCATCTTGCTGAAAGTATTTCACGTAAATTAGCTACAGGAATATCTAAAAGTTCCGGTACGATATCTTCCAAGATTTGCAAATAGCGGTAGAGAGTTAAGTGTTAATATATAAAATAATAATAATATATAAAAAAATTATTAGTGGCCCCTAAAATAAAATACAGACAGATAGCAGTATACTTTTAATAATTCTTTATTTTCTTTTATTATCAATCATGGCCTACTAATAAATATGATATTTTAATAAAAAATTTTAAATATTGCAGTAAATAGTGAAAATAAATATAGATTGATTTATCTTTTTTATGCTTATGCAATTTATTATTTTTTATGCTTATGGCAAGCCAAATCGTATAATTTATAAATATATAGGCTGTTCCATTAAAAAAAACATAACTGTAGTTCATATCTTCGAAAATATTATTTCCGTAGAATAAAAGACTATACCACTGTATTCTCCGTAAAAAGTTCTACAATAAACAGTTTTCACCTTCTCGATACCTTTCGCAATAACAGAGATACGGGGGGTGTCCCAAAAAAAAAAATTTCCAAAAGACCCTGTAGCTCAGAAACAAAGAGGGCTACGAAAATTTTGTTTACAGCATCTTTCGTTTGACAAAAAAGTGGGACAGGTTTGTGCAAACCGCATCCTTTCATTTTCACTAATAACGGAGATACCGTATGATTTCAACCAAAATGGGACACCCTGTACAGCCATTATTATAACATTCGGAAAATTTAATTTTTGAAACAGATATCCACATGTCCTATTTTTAAGTCACAGTGGCTGTGTTAATCACTAAATTTGACGTTTAAGCTATACAAATATTTTTTACGGGCTGTTTTTTTGCGGACAACATTTTTTTTTCTTAAAAACGATATAAAGTGTTTAATATCAAAATATCAAAATATTAATGTAAGTGCAATTTTTTAATTTAATGTCTTGTATTGTCCAAACCAAACCAAACCAAACCAAATCAAAATATTAATGTAAGTGCAATTTTTTAATTTA